TTTCTGCTGTGGGCGGGGCAGCAAACCCTTATGAAGGGAAGATTGATTTCTCCACCTCTACTCAGGCTGCTGCTTTATTTATCATCTTGCACTGAGTTCCACACATTATGTGGGTAGCTTGACTTAAAATCTTTATTTACCCAGTTTCTCTCACGGTTTTTGTATCAGCATTACCCTTCTCCGTATACTCAGGTTCAGAATCTCCGAGTCACCACTGACTTCTCTCTGTCCTCGTCCAAATCCACACCTGCCAGACATCTCCCACATGTCCCCAGCTGTCCATTTCCACTATTCCAGCTTTAGTTCGGTTGTTCTTTATGGCTCTACCAGACCGCCTTATGGACTCCTAATTATTTTCACAGCTTTGAGCTTCCCCTTGTTCAATCCATTCAGCCACTGCCACCAGGTAATCCAAAACATTATTCTGATCATGCTCAAATGTTTTTAAGGGCTCCCTGTGGCCTACTATTAATGAAGTTCAAGCTCTTTGGTCAGGTATTCAAGGTCCCTTCTTCTTTTGCCCTCCCCTTACTTTTGAATATTAATTCTATAGTATATGCAATACTTCGGCCAAATGAAACCATTCACTGTCCTCTGTACATAATTGGGGCTTCTTTATCATCTCTCCGCTGAAGCCATTTTGCTGTATCTTGATCCTTGCCCCTGATGCCACGACCATTTCCAAAAACAAAATCCAACCCTTTTCCTAGCTCAAATGGCACCTCCCCCATGAAGGCTTCCATCATGAGCCAAGTCACAATGAGCCAAGACATTTTTCCCTAACTCTAATGCCATTTAGTTTGTGACATTAAGTACATCTTGGCCATACAGATGTGGAAGGCAAGAAGCATGTCTTCTCATTGTTGTATGCCCATAGGCCTCCAACCTGTGCCTTAAGTGAATAGTGGACACTCCGTGTGTGTTGGTTGGAACTAATGAATGAATAAGTCTGTTGTGTAAATAGATCAGGTTTTCTGAAAGCCTGGCACACCTGTAACCTTCTGCGTCATCCCCTTTCCTCTTCTCAGTTCACTAACAAAATAGAGTGGCTGCTTTTCAAACCCAAAGCCCATCAAACACCTGTATTGTTATTATCAACACTAACAATCTCACACTTTTTATTAATGTTTAAAGTGCTATGTTCTGTATGCTTAGAATAATCTCAAAGAGAACATCTGTTACTTTAGTGCTCTTATTTTCAACCTCTTGAGGGCAATTCTTTCATTACTAAATTAAAGTGGGCTGTTTAATAACTTATAACTGTCAGGGGAAAATGGTAAATTGCAGCCACTCTGGTCTATGCTGTATATCTAAAATGAATTTTTTTCCACTTGTAATTCATTATTTGTCATCAAATTTCAAGTCTGTTTTTTAGGACTAATTGAGGAATGTAATGAAAAATTATGAAATAAACTAAGGAGTATTTTTGCTGTAAAAAACTTTTATTCAACTTTAGTATCTCATTAGACTATCTATCCTTGACAAATGCCATACTTATCATAATCTCATAAGTGTCTTCAATGCCTTTCTCTCACCCATATTCTGAACTTCCAAGAGGATCATTAACCTAATTATCAAGTGATTAAATCTTGAGACTGTGTGATAATTGCATCTCCTGAAGAAGAAAAAAAGTACACTAGTTGAATCTGAGCAACAAAGACCTTTAAATATAGTAGTTAGAGAATCATGGAAGATGGTTATATTTTTATATAGAAACTTCAAGATGTTTACAATATATTATTAGAATTACAATAACATCATGATAAAAGAGCATGCATTTGGAAGGTTGCCAGTTTTCATTAAGAAAAATCTATAACAACATAAAATGTATAGGGGGAAATATCAGAACGTGGGAAGGATTCAACATCAATATAACTCTATAAAAGTTTATCATCTTACTAAGGGGAACAAAGTGTAGGGATAGATTATGGTCAAGTGTTATCAATCATGTTTGGGGAAATCTCAAGTAGAGGGTGGAAGGATAGATATTTTTCTATTCCTTGAAGGTAAACCTGGTTCTAAAATACTTAATTTAAGGGGGGAGCATAGCTCAGAGGAAGATTAGGCTGGTCAAAATGTGCTCAATTCAGTCCCAAATAAGGGGGAAGGGTGGGGGGGAGATGGGAAAACACTTGAAAATGAGATAAACAGAAAGAAAAAGAATACTACTAAACTAGATGATATCATAGTCATCATTCTCTGTTACTGTTTCCTGAATAATTGCAGTGTGCAGATAATGTTTTAGGGAATGTAATGTAATATCTTATTTTTATTTTATTTCTTTTTTTACTAGTATCCTCACCCAAGGCTATGTTATTGATTTTGTAATATAGGGTTTTATTATTATTATTATTATTATTATGGATAGTATTACAGATCTCTCCCATTCTTTCCCACTTCCTCCCTTCCTTCTAGCCCCTACCCATGCCCCCTCATGTCTTCACCACCCTATTGCCTATGCCCATGGGCTATGCATATAAGTATATAAGGTCTTTGGTTTATTTCTTTCCATCCTCCCACCCCCACATCGAGGTATGTCAGTCTGTCCTGTTTATTGATTTTAGATGATGTGAGAGAGAAACATCCGATTGCCTCCCTTACACGCTCCAACCAGGGATTGAACCCAAAATTTAGGCACATGCCCTGACCAGGAATCAAACCTGCAACCTTTTGGTGTACTGGATAACGCTCCAACCAACTCAGCCACCCAGCCAGGATTCATTTTATTTTCAAAACAATCATCTTTGCCATGTAAGTGTCATTTCCATTTTGCAGATGAGAAAACTGAGACTCAGATAAAAAAAAAATTCTCCCAAGGTCACACTATTGGTTTTTGTGATGTGCCATAATAAAGAAAAGAAGTCGTTTCATCAGAGAGTAGGGTTACGTGAAATATAAAACACACCATGTTAAAAATATTTAAAGGAGACCAATGGAGGTGGGGGTGGAAACTTTCTAAGCAGATTGAAAGGAATACAAGCAGTGAACTAAGATAGTAAACTCAACCCATAGAACACTTTTCTCCTCCCTGCCTTTGCCAGTCCTCCCAACAACCCAGCCTTACAACCATCATTACTACCCTGGGGGAAAACAAAAACAAAACCTCTCCTCACCCAATGTCAGCTTTCAAATATTAAAAAGCAACTTTGCTTTACACTCTGTCTTCAAAGTAAGAATAGGGCCCAGAAGAAACATCAGCTGTGAAAATCTGATTTTCTATGCCGCTGATAGCACCTCTAGCCACAGTTCTAGTCAGCAGGAAGACAAGTTAACTGCTGAGGAAGCTGAGAATTATGCTCTTAAAGAAAAGACACTATATGAACAGTATTAAATAAAAGTTAGGAGCTGAAGGAGGGGAATAAGAAATAAAAGCTATATAAATGGGAGAAAATCAATTGGTGAAGAATGAGAAAAGCAAAGGCAAGAAAAAGAAGACTGCAATTCCATGCTGTAACACTATAACAAGTGTCATCTGACTAGGAAGGGATTTTTTTTTCCCCCCAAGCACACAATAAGACTGTGGAAAAAAGAGTTTATGAGTTTATGATTGTTCAACTTTTTACAGAATCCTCAACATATGAGTTATTAAATGCTTTTATTTCTTCTCATGGTTTTCTGGGATTGTAGGAAAAGAGACACTTCGTAAAGAGTACTCATTGGTTACTTGACTTAACCCTACCTGTCTTCAAGAGGTATATAATGAATAATGTACCTAATCAGTATAAAAAGATTAACAAAAATTGTATTCTGACAGGCATCCCTTAACATTAAAGTGTAATAGTGACACCTCACACACACAAAAAAATGAAACTTGGTTTAATATAAGCTAGTCAATTTTCTACATAAAATTGTCAACTTTCAGATGAAATATAAGTTTACCTTCAATCTCCTTCCCACCACTTTTGCTGTTCTGATCAATAACAACCAAACTCTAGAAAAACATGTAGCTCTTTTAGACAACTGGAAGAAGCGCTCAATTCTTATGAACTCTGACGAAGTCTCAGAAAGTGGCATCCAGTTTTACCATGTTCAGTAACAGAGACTGAAGAAATTAGAGCTGACTGGCTTTCAGATCCAGGATAATATTCAGTTCAAATCACTGTGAAAATGAAAGGCTTAGAAATACCAGATGACAGCATGCTCAGTTTCCTTTTCCACTTGAAACTAGCATGTTTACCCTGCTCATTGCCTTCTGAGTTGCTAGAAAATTATCAAATTTTTGTTTGTTTTACAAACTAAAAACCTACTGCTCAGTCCCATCAAAAACTGATTTGGGGGGGGGGGTGTAATGGCAAGATATGTACACATATAATAATTTAATTTTAAAATTAAAAAAAAAAACTGATTGCAGGTAATGCTGCCTTCCAGCCTATAGATAAATCATCTCTCTACTTTTCCAACCTCTGTAAAACTCAACAACAACAAAACATAGTTTAAATAGATGGTAAATGGACTCAAATGTGTCAGAGGACCATTCTTCCTCTGACCTTCCCTCTCCTCTTCTCCACTAGGCTGGAACTCATGCAACTATAAACTAGAGAAGATAGGAAAGTAGTTCGGCACTTTGTTCTCTTTCCAACCACAAATGAGAATGAAATGCATTATGATCCCAAAAAGACATCAGAGACACCAACATGCCCATTTTCTTTAGACCAACACTGGAATTCCAGAGTAGACATCTTTCTCTGGCCCCCCGCAAATACATTCTAAAACCATGACATTCTTAAAGACATAGTATCTTGACTGAGAACACATGTTATCATCGGATGCAAAAGGTAACCCTTGTTCCGTGTGAATTTTCCACAAACCACTGCGTGTTAGAGAAAGACCATGACATCAGAATGGTGTAGAAACACTCTAAGCAGTCTAAACTCAGAAGGAATTTAAGTAGCAGGACTCATAAAGAGTCTAAATTAATGGGTTTATGGATGCCACAGGCTAACTGAAGGCTTGCCTCCCAGGCCAGTGGGGCCCTGGAAGGGGTCAATGCAAAGTCCTACCTGGTAGGCATCAGGGATGTTGACGGTTTCTCCATGCTCCCCGACATAGCCAATGATGCCTTTGCCCCAGGGGACCTGCACCTCGTTTGAGTTCTCTGTGCTGCTGCAGGGCAGCAGTGGGGTTCCCGCATGCACATCGAACAACTTGGAGACCAAGCTCTTCTTGCCGGCAGCCACCCTTTCCACCAGGAAAAGAGAGCAGCGGTCAGCATCCACCATGAGGCAGACGAAGATGAGGATCTTGTAGCTCAGGCTGGTAAGGTCAAGGTCATTGGAGATATCCTTGACCAGTTCCAGAAAGAACTGGCGCTCATTGTGCTTTTTGAGGTGGCACTTGTAGTCCATGGCCGTAGGGGGATACTGAGGCAAGTTCACTCTGGACTCCAGCAGGGCGCTGAGGATGTGGGCTGTGGTGGGAGGCAGGGAGCTGGCCTTGCGGAGCAGCGCCCTCCGCCGCACGCTGCTCAGGGGCTCCTGGGCCCGCGAGGTCACCTGTTCATCGTAGGTCCTGTTCACGTGGATGGCTTTGGAGCGGGCAAAACTCTTCCTTAACTCCTTCTGAGAAGCTTTCCGCTGCAGGTTCCCATCCCCCAGGCCGCCACTGGCCCAGCTGGGACTCAGGGGAGCTCCTCCACAGTCCCCACCACCCGGAGGGGGCTGGCTGCTGCCAGAGCCAGTTGGTCCAGTGCCACCACCAACGCTGCTGCTGCTGCTGCTGCTGCCTCTGCCACTGCCGGGAGCCATGCCTTCAGGACCAGCCAGTGCAGGCCTCGGGCCTAAAGCCCCCTGACCCTGGCTGTGCCTCTGCAGCCACTTGTCCACCAGCTCCTGCTTCCCCTTCCGCATCAAGTAATCTTCCAGCAACTCTGGGTGCCTGTCCAGGAAAGTTTCCACGTCCCCGAAGTCCAGGGAGGGAGCTGTCATGGTCCCGGCCACGGCTTTCATCGCCTCTTACACTTGGACCCAATGTTTACCTTCCTCAGCCCTCTGGCAGGTCCTCCACGTGTCTGCCCCGCCGGCAGTCCCGGCTCTGGGCGGAGCTTCTGCGGAGCGGTGCTTGCTAAGGGGCTGGGGGCGGCCCTGCCTCCGGGCTCAGAGTGGCTGGCACGAATCCCACCCCTCGTCCTGCAACCCCGCTCCGCACAGGTGCCCCGGGCGGGCGAGCTGTCAGCTTCGGTCCTAGGAGCAGGAGGGATCGCTGCTCTGGCTCAGGCTGCCGCCGCCTGGAACCGGAGGAGAGGACCTCTGTGAAAGGGAGGTAGCACAGGACACGCCCCTGAGTGAGGCGAGGAGCCCGGAGGGAGGCGAGGGGGGAGGAGGGAGCCGCGGGGCCGAACCTGCCCAAATCCACCGCGGGGATCCCAGGCGGTTTGGAGTGTCTCTGGCGCCTGGGAACTCAGCCGACTCCTGATTGGAACACGACTTGAGGGAGAAACGCACCTTGTTTCTTCCCCGTCCTGCTTACCTTACCTCCCCAACACTTTCATTCCCTGCCCTCTAAGCCCGATAATCCTCCCGCGTTTCAAGGAGGCTCCATGGGGCCCAGGGGAAGCCTCCAGTATAAGGAGGCGCTGATGTGTTGCAGGAATCGGACCCAGAAGCTGACTCCGAGGACAGTGAGGATGCTCAGAGACAGGCAGGGCTATTTTTCTGGGATGTGACGGTGGACTGTTGGTTCCTAGGATTCCTGGGGTTGCCAGCTAACACTGTCCAGCTCCTTGTGGGAATTCGTTAAATATCAATGGACCCTGGATTTACCCAAACTTAGTCAATGGTGTTCCCCTATCTGAGCAATTCATGACTTGATCCAAATTATTGGGCCTGGGATTGGAGGCGGGGAGGGTGGTACATGGAATGAGGGTGTAAAACACAGTTACTTGGGTTAGGGACCCTGCCTACGAGGAGCATATAGCAAAGTGGACTCGAAGGCCTCGGGGCTTCCTTCGCGCCAATCCTGCACACAGGATAGTTTCTCTTCTTTTCATGAATGACTTGCCTTCTTCCTCCAGTCTGCTAAGGATGCCCAAGCCTTTACTCCCAGTGTCTTAGGGCTTGTGGGTAAGACTTCTCCTCTGTGGCAGGCGGGAGGCTTTTCTTTCTCTTATGCTAGTTGTGCTCCGGATCTGCTAGTCTCAGCTAGGAGGGCTGAGAATGACATCCGGTTTCCCTTGGGCCTTTTCTAAACCTAGTGGTTAAGCAGAGGTGATTCGCCAGTTAAAAGAAGCCGGCAGATAACACTTTCTCAAAGCCCAAAAGTGTCCTCTTTTGTGAGAAACAAAAAGCAGTTTGGAGAACCATCCAGTTCCCTGGGAGAGCAGGATTATCTAGAAGTGGTCATACAGGATGTTAGAAGGAAGGCTCATAGGAGAGAGCTGCGAAGGTAGCAATTTCTACCGACTCTGTGTGGCAGGTGCACAGCGGTGACTTATGCAGTGAACAAGCTTACTCCTGGAAAAGGTCCTCAGACAAGGTGTATTGAACACTTCCTATGTGTTGATTACTTTAAATTAACATATTAGTTTAATCCTTACAACAGACTTATGAGGTGGAGACTCTTATTTTCCCATTTTAATGATGGGGATACTCTGAGAAATTGGATCTCTTACCTAAAATACGGTCGGTGCCAGAGCTGGGATATGATACATTTAGTTTGGCTTCAGCCGCATCACTGGACTGTCTCCCACCTGTGTCAACTGAGTCCTATCTGTGCTAGGGTTTGGGCCAGTAATAGAGCTGCAAGGCCTGGGGCAGCACTCCTCTGGCAGCAGCAGGAGGAGCAGAGAGGGAAAGAGGGGCACTTGTTCAAAATGATTGAGGACATGGCCTTGGCACTGGGGATGCAACTGGGAACAAAGACTCTGCCTGCATTATGGTGGGAGACAGCCAACAAACAAATAAGAAAATAAATGTACAGAATAATAAAGCGTCAGTGATAACTGCTATGAAGAAAAACAAAACTTGGCAAAGGATTAAATAAAGGAATAAGGTGGTGGTTAGGCATTTCTGAGGAGGGAACACCTGAACAGAGATCTGGTGGAAATGAAGGAATGAGCTATGTTAATATCTGGGAAAAGAGTGTGCAAGGTAGAGAATCAAGTGCTAAAGTGTAACAAGTTTGGACTATTTAAGAGGGACCGGGGAGACTATCCAAAAGATAGTGAACCAAATATAGAATATTGGTAGTGGAACCAACTGTATTACCTTAATTGTTATTATTATTATAAATTAATAGTATGTGGCATCTTCACTGGGTGTGGCCACATCTTTGGTAACGTGAGTGATTCATCAGTAGGGACTTACAAGAGTTAATTGTAGCATCTCTTTCTAACTCCATGTTCAGTGACATCAGATAGTCTGCAATCAGCCATAATGTGAGTACTTATATAGTGAAATTCAACAAATGCTTTGAATAAGGATTTTTTAAAGATTATTTGCTAAACATTTATCAGCACTCAGTGGAAAAAATCAGTTGTCCATCAAATGATGAACAGATAAATAAAATGTAGTGTAATTATATATTAGAATCTTATTTGACCATAACAAGAAGAAATGATGTGCTGATGCATGCTACAACTTGGATGAAACTTGAAAATAGTAAGCAAAGTGAAATAAGTCACTCACAAAAAAAACCATATCTATCCTATATAATAAAGAGGTAATATGCAAATTGAACCTCATGCCCTCGAACAAGATGGCCGCCCCCATGTGGTCAAAGATGGCTGCCACAAGATGACCAGCAGGTGAGGGTAGTTGTGGGTGATCAGAGCAGCAGAGAGGGCAGTTAGAGGCAACCAGGCCAGCAGGGGAGGGCAGTTGGGGCAATCAGGCTGGTAATGGAGCAGTTAGGCATTGATCAGGCTTGCGGGGGAGTGATTAGGGAGTGATCAGGCTCGCAGGCAGGCAAGTAGTTAAGAGCCAGCAGTCCCAGATTGTGAGAGGGATGTCTGACTGCCGGTTTAGGCCCGATCCCACAGAGATTGGGCCTAAACCGCAGTCAGACATCATCTCCTGAGGGGTCTTAGATTGGAGAGGGTGCAGGCTGGGCTGAGGGACACACACACACACACCCCCAGTGCACAAATTTTGTGCACCGGGCCTCTAAAATACAATATATATATTGCACAGATATATATATATAGTGGCCTCTCACACTCCAGGCCTCTCAGTGGATGTCGGACTGCCAGTTTCAGCCGGTGCCCACGGGCCAGGTTGAGGGACCCCACCTGCTGGAGGAACCCCGCTCACTCCACAGATGCCCCTCGAGCCCCAGTGCCACTCCGCTGGCCACTTTCTGATTAATTTCCTTTCAATGTGCAGAAATCCATACACTGGGCCTCAGCTCAGGGAAGAAGCTCTGTAGACTCTGTCTTCATCCACCCTCCCTCTTTCCACCAAATTATAAATTTTGGCCAAGTAGCCTCTCCTTAGAAAATACAAAAGGGCTTACTATTTAAAGTTTTCAAGAATAAGGGCATTTTTTAAATTAGAATATTTATTACTTTATCACTGCCATCGTCAATTAGCATTTATTAGCACTCAATGTGCAAAGCACTGGGTTATATGCAAGATAACTTTTGTTATTCCAAAGAGGACTTTTTAAATTTTAGTACTGGATGGAACCTTAGAGATCACCTAATACTCCACTTTCATTTTGCACATGTGGAAATTGAGACCTAAAGTAGACACATAACTCTTCAAAGTTACCTGCCAAGCACAACCTCTGATCTGTTTCTGGTTCCATCCCACCCTTATCAACATCTCCCAACTTGATACCAATTGCTTGAAGCCAATGAATTTCTGTCTCCCAAGCTTTTTTCCTAACCATTTTATCTTCTAACACTTTCACTGTGTGACCAACAGGCATTGTCAAAAAGGTTGATGCAATTTTCAAAATGAAAATTAGCTTTGAAAAAATTATAATTGGAATATTATCATTTTAGGAAATAGGGATCCACAGGATTAAACAAAAGATGATTTATTCCAATTCCAAAAGATTAAAATCTTTGAACTGTAAGTTTCACAGAGATGTTTATCTTTATAGGAACTTAAAGTCAGAAGTGGTCATAGTCTATGCCAAATCCCAAGCCTGAGATGCTGTAACAGAGGGATTCTCAGTAAAAACAGAACCATAGAATTATATATAGCAAGAGGATAGGGGAGGATGGATGGATGGATGGATAGATAGATAGATAGATAGATAGATAAATGATAGACAGATAAGGAGGAATTGGTTCACATGAATATGGGGACTAAGAAGTCCCATATTCTGTTGTCAACAAGCTGAAAATCCAGGAAAACCAGAGGTATAACTCCGTCTGGGTCCGAAGGCCTGAGAGCAAGGGGAACAAATAATGAATATTCTAGACCAATGAATATTCTAGAGATGAGATGTCCCAGCTCAAACAGTAAGGTAAAAAAAAAAAGAAAAGAAATCATTCCTTCTTCCTCTACCTTTTGTTCTATTCAGGCCTTCAATGAAATAGAGCAATCTATTTCATCCAGAAATATCTTTATAGACACACCCAGAAACAATGTTTAATTTGGGCACTCATGGCCTACTCAAGGTGACACATAAAATTAACCATCACAGGTGCCTTACCTAGTTTTAAATTTTGTAAGCACGCCTCCCCCTGACTCTCTTTATGCAGAATCTTAACATGCATCTACTTAAATTATCATTACAATATCCTAGTTGTGATTTCACCTTAATCCAGTAAAATTCTGTAACCCACACTAACTCACAAGAGAATGATAAATATGAAAAGTAACTGTGTGGATTAATGTGTGCAGGCAGGATTAATTAGATTAGCACTGTCCAGCTGGGCATTTGGGAATAAAGTATGTTTCTTTCACTTCAGGAGAAGAAATTATACACGTAAATTCTGAAGCAGGTATTTACACACTACTTGGACAAATATAGTTGTGCTACTAAGTATAATTGACTTAATTAACAAATTTCCTCTATCCTATAAGACAAAGTAAGATGCCACCATGTTAAGAAGCTGTGTTTTATATTCCTGTATGATCAGTCCTCCAGCTCGCAAACATTTTGGTAAGTTATCTGTTATAAATTATTTTTAATACTTGTTATTTATTCAACTCAAAATAATGCATTTCATTCTCCACTTAATTTTTTTTACATTAAAGCACATTTTATTATTCTTTTATTTACCTTTTTTTTTTACAACTCAGAAATTAAAACTACTCCGAGCAGTAAGCCTATCTGCATTCATAATTGCATTAAAGAATATAAGTACCTAGAATATAAATTTTTAAAATTTCAAAGATATCTAGGTAAACAATAGTGCCCCATGAAAGTACAGAAAGAATAACATGCCATAAATGTTAGATGTAATCAATAGAGTATTATATCTCAGAAGAAAAACCAGCAATAATCAAAGTTTCTTTCTGGAGAGTGATTTATTGATAAAATACATTGATAGG